CTCTCTCTCTCTCTCTCTCTCTCTCTCTCTCTCTCTCTCTCTCTCTCTCTCTCTCGCTCACTCGCTCTTTCTCTACCTTCTTCTTCTTCTTCTACTCTTTCGATCTTACGACCTCCGCTTCTCGTACAGAATGATAAACGCAGGATATTCCGCAGGCACCATCGACCGCATCCCCGTATAAAGTACTAGATCGTTAGAGACGGCATTTAATCTCGTGCAAAAAGCACAACTGTGAACTGGACTGATTAGAGACGCTTCGGTGAGCAGTCTTTCAATCGGCTATATCCCTTATAACTTTCTAACTGAGAGTGTCACGATTCGACGAGAACCAGATCGATACCGGTAGCACGCGATGTCGTGATAAACGTAGACGTCTGCTACACTCGAGAATGTGGCCTGCCGATGTTATGGCTGTTTCGCGTTTAATTACCTATACTATACATAGCAGCGGAAGAGGCTCTCGTGAAATAACCGGGACTTTAAACGAGAGTATCCATTGCCGCTGAAACATTAAAATACGCGGATGATAACTGAAACATTCCAGCATTAAGTGTATACTTGTGCAAGGATACAAGCACGAAAGAATCAAGTCGATAAACTCTTATCGAGGAAGTCGACCTCTATCGAATAAGGTCGATTACGAGAATCTGAAAGAAGTAAAAGTGTTAAAATCTTTGGAATAATCGTATAGTGAAGCAAGAGACAGGTAAATCGCAGTGACCAGAAATAAGCCAAGGTAGAGCGGGAAGAAAAAGAAGAGGGATCGTGCGGGAGCCGAGGAAGAAGCGGAGGAAGCAAAGGGAGAAGAAGAAAAAGAAGAGGGCTGCAAGGTCTGACCCTGGCGATCTTGGCCTGCAGGGTTATTCTATTTATATCGCAAACTTAGCTATATTTAGCTTACAGGGCCCCGCAGGAAAGCGAGCGAAGAAGAGAGTCTAAGGGTGCGGTGCGGTGGGGAAAGACGCGGAGGAGAGCCGAGAAGGGCCGCAGGTTCGTGATGACGCGAAAGGAGCAGAACGGGACAAGTGGGCCCCGAACGATCGCCCAACGATAGAGGAAGAAGAGGGACAGAGGTAAAAGTCGCCCAACACGACCGCTTCGGTAATCCGCCTGACGAATACATTAGCACTCTTGAGTCTCGTTATCCCGAGCGATTTCCGCCATACCTGATGGACCCACTCAATATCTCGTATTCGCACTTTAATCCTCACGTTTTCTACATGTGTAGGTATATATAACGTATTGATTAGCACTTCAAGTCGTTGTAGCTTTGATCGTTTCTTAAACGCGTTCAACGTTGTTCAGAGATGCACGAAGAATAAAGTAATCACGCTAGATATATCTATTTATACTGTATTAAATGTAACTATTTTTCCAATTAAATACCTAAGACGTTAATATACGTTACTCGAAAACATTGCAAATTAATTAACGACAAGATTAACTCTTAATATCCACGATTAGATCATTCGTGTTCTGCACACTTTTTTTCTTTGAAATATTAAAATCTGGTTAAATAATGGTATCTGTTTTCTTTTTCTAATATACACAACTTTATACGTTTATTTAATAACTTTTGTATATTTGTAAAAGTGATGAAAACGAGACACGAACGACCCGTCTCGTACCAGTGACTTTTAAAATTTCTTTCAATTGCATAACTACAAGGAGATTTAGATTGATACGATATTCGATGGAATTTGAAAATTCGAGCTACGATATATCCTCTTCGAAATCGTAGAAATTACCTTTCCTTTTGTAAGCTTAATAGTAACCTTCTGAAATTGCTGCCTTGCTTTGTTCAAGTCTTCATTACATTCCCCGGAACAATCGCGATATCTCAGAGCGTGTAAAATTCATAGCGCGAAAAGGGGGAGTCACGATAGACGCTTTACCGACTTCAGGACGGCTATATGCCC